AAACGTCCTTATTCTGCAATCATGCCTCTCTTTAAGTGCACGCGAAACCCGGGCCAGACACCCAGTGGTTAGGCTACTTAGTTATTCGGGGGCCCGACTAGGCCAGGATCCAGAGGCACCCTCCCTTCCTTTCAGGCAGAGGGGAGGGACAGATCCATGAAACAGCCTCGGAAGTGAGGAGGAGGGGACGAAAATAATCAATTTTCATTAATTTTTCCATAGCTTTTGCACATTTGCTTTTAGTTTTTACCTTTTATCTTCCAAGAATCTTAGAAGATTAAATACAATCTTTAGAATCTTTTAGCAGGTGACTCAAAACACGTTACTTGTCTGCCATTGTGCCACTAGGCTGGCAGGTCTTAAAGGGGCGAGGTTCCTGACTGCCCCATTCTGCCCTGTGAAAGTTACGTGCTACTTAGCAAATCATTTAGCTCCCCGTTCTTCTATTTCCTACCTGGTAAAAGAGGGCCATACCTCATTCCTTGATGTCCTCACATAGCAAACATCAGAATTATTTTAAGAAAGTAAAAATAAAACCACAAAAATGCTACCCAATCGATACGCACGCCAGTCACACATATCATTTTGAGGAATGTGTTCAATCTGAGTGACAGCTTAAAGAGAAAGAATGCATGACTATTCCATGAAGAACTCATGGTATTTTCTTCACTTATATTACCTCTCTCATCCTCTTCAGATCTCTGTTGATAAATGGGTCAGACACCATCAGCCCCATTTTACAATTGAGGCAATGAGAGGTTAAGTGCTTGACCATTGCCAGTAACCAAGGGGAGAACGGGACTTAAGTCTCCTGTCCAAATCTGAGGTCCATTTTACCTCCTCCTTAACGGCCAAATTGCTACCTCAGAAACTATCTTTGTTCTGAGTTCCCTTGGCTGTAAAAATAGGGTCATATCATATCTATACAAGGTCGTCACTCTTAGAGCAAAGATTTTATCATCTCGGGAATTAGAGTCCTGAGTGCTTGTGGCATAAAAGTGCTTTATACATTTCACAAAAAATTAGAAAAGTTTCCTAGTAGGGGGTGTGAATGGGCTTGCTGGGTGCACCGTGAGCTTGAAGCAGTGGGAAAATCCGAATCATCCCTGACCTAGGATGTGGACTTTGGCAGATGAATCTGAGGGCAGAAAATGTTTCCAGCTCCATTTTGATTCAGTACAATACTGGACAATTTTTACAAGTCCTTCTTTATGGTATTCCCTTGATATAACCATGAGCCATTTCCTTCACAGTGTTTTTTTTTTTTTTAATTAACATTATTCATCACAATGAAAAACTTGTGACTATTTTTCCTACCATGAAATGGAAATTGTTTGAAAATTATTCTAAACTGATTTTTTTTTCAAGGGGAAAACAAATCCATAGTGATGCTCTAGGTTTGGCCTTTAATGCCTTGATGGAAACTTAAAGAGATGCTGAAGACTTGTCATTAACATGCCATTTGCTTCCCTGCTACTTGCTTGACACACAACACATACCGGATGCGTTGCGGTTGTCACTGTAAGAAAATAAATTTTAGGCTGTGCATGTTTTGAATGTCAGCGAAGTTGAAATTAAAAACAAAACCCCCCCACCTATGCCAGTATTTACACATTTTGACCTAAGAAAACACCATTCACTTCTGCGTCTTTAATCCCTAGCACAGCACCAGGCATAGAGTTGGTACTCGGTCCATGCTGGTTGAATACATTTGTGTGCTGGTTAGACAAACATGAGAGCAGTCTTATTCTTTAAGACACAATGAGTTTTCCTACTTAATGATTAAGGTATTATTGGATTAAAGGTCTCCTAGAGAAACTGTTTATTTATTTATTTTGAAAGTGATAGAGAGAGAGATAGAGAGAGAGGGAGAGAGAGAATCCCAAGAAGGCTCCATGGTGTCAGCACAGAGCCTGACACAGGTCTCAGTCTCACGAACCATGAGATCATGACTTTAGCTGAAACCAAGAGTCGGGCGCTTAACTGACTGAGCCACCCAGGTGCCCCATTTCCAGCCATTTCTCACCAGAGAGAACCAGGTTAGAAAAGTCAGGAACTGCCAAGGACAGGACAGTTCTGTCCAAATAGATGCTGTTTACAGCTGCAGATGTGAAATGAAAGGCATGGTCTTCTTGTTTGTCAGGAGGCCTGCTTGATCTTACCTACAAGTAATTCAGATGCCAAAAATTATTACTTTGGGTGTGGAAACAGCCCGTGAATGCACATTCACACATTCAAGCTAAGATTATTCTTAAAGTGCTTCCTGATGGTGATACTTAATTCTAAAAATGGGGCAGTGTGCAGTTCACCTTCTAAATCTAACATGACAGTCGTCATGGGTTATTTTTATAATCGACTAAATGAAAAGTGTAATAGGATGAGGTGGGTAAATTTAAGTTTCCAGAAGCAATTGTGTTTGCACTGTGTGCTACTTTGGAGTGTTTTTTGTTGTGGTTTTGTGTTTTGTGAACCAAAGCAAACTAACATTTCTGTGAAGTTTATGGCATCCTAGAGTGGAAATACTTGGCAGGATTTTTTTTTAAACTTCTAATATTTCCAACCTACGTGAAACTTTCACAGATCAAAGAGAGGACAAGATATGTTAGGATACTATTAACGCTTTTGTGAGGGCAAACCTGTATTTTTAAGGACAGGTGTTGGCATTCTGGTACAATTATTCCCATCCCTGTGGAAAAGCTCAAATGTCATTCCATTGTAGGGTACGTTTCTCTATTAGAAACATTTAAATTTGATAAAATTCATTTTTGAAAAGTTAGATGTGCAACTTAAATGTCATAAATGACACTCAGTTCTGTCTCTAGGCATATATCCAAACCTTAATGGCTCACAATCTTTATTAGTATCGTTTCTTAATGGCCTGGCCATTACTACTGGATGAAACCATGTGAAACATATTTACCTGTTTTCTTGTTTTAGTATATAGTTTCTATATATTGCTATCAATAGAACATTCTGCATGGCATCATATGTTAACTTGCACCATTTCAACCAATAATATAATGTTATGTTAAGGAGCCAAACTCCTAGAGCAATATATTATATATTGTATAATGTATTCTTAGTAAGGCCTGCCTTTTCCCCGTACTTAAAGTTTTATGAAATTATGAGGTGCCTTAGCTAGAGTTTGATTATCACTTTATATATTGGAAAAAGTCATAATCATGCTATCATGATTGGCTTTGTCTTTTCCTAGGCGTTAGTTTTGTGGTTCTTTTTGAAGGACTTGTCGAGTTGGAGGAGAGAAAAGAAATAGTGGACCTATTCTTTCATATAAATATGATACCAAGCCTTTGCGGCTCATGCTTTTTGTTAGCTCTTTTGTAGCATCAGAAGTTTGAAGGCCTCATTTCCCCAGTACGGTATTTTCTAAAATTGAAGAGAAAAATGAAGATCGGTGGAACCTAGGAAAAGAGCTCCAAGTAGGGAAAATGGACTGAGCAAAAGGGGTAACAGTGTCATTTGATACTTTTGTGAACTTATGTCATTGCCTGAGAAGAAATGAGGATTCATTTCAATAACTAGGGAAGTAGTTAACCATTCAAAAACTCATTCATATGACTAAATGAGAATTCTTATTGGTACTGCATTTCTCAAAATCAGTAGAACTTATTCCCCCGCCTGTATATCATTTCCAGAATTAGATCATTGAAACATTTAAATCTTAGTACTAGAACACTAACTGCAGAATACACGCTGTAGATGGATGATGAGGTCCCCCAGGAAATTGTCTTAGCATCTGACATGATCATCCCCTGTAGTAAAAATTTTAAGTTCTAATCATTTAGCTCTATAAAGTGGGTAGTTTTTCAGCTGTAAAAGTGATCTCAAAGCTTAGCTTTATATGCTCCCCCTTTTTTATTTTCAAAAACGTATATTGAGACAAATGTGTTATTACTGTTTATAGAATCTAGTACCTGTAGATGGGTTATACCATCTTACAGGGCAGTCCTCCAAGAAAATCACTCTACAGTCTACATCAATTTTATTATATATGAAAACCACTCAGACTTCTACTTGATCATGCTTCTCATCTTCAAACAATTCTCTTTTCTATTCCAAACATTTGCATGGTATCCTCAGGCAGTTCATTTCTGGATGCTGTGTAGAGAAATTAGTATCCTTTAAATCAGCTAACAGAATTCAGACACGTAACTTATAGCAGGTGGGGTGAATTTTCTCCTTACTGAATTGTGCATAGAAGAAGATATGAAATGGGAAATTTTATAACCCCCCCTTTTCGGCAAACCAGTGTAGGATACTGTCTAGAGATGCAGATACTGGAGCTAGATGACACCGACATTGATAGTTGCTAGCTAAACAATCTTAGTAAGATGACTTAATCTTTCTGTGCCTCTATTTCTTCTTCTGTAAAACGGGAATACTAAGCTTACCCTACATAGGGCTGTTGTGAGGAAGGGGTTAATACATGTATAGCACTTAGGACAGAACTCTTAGTAAATGTTAGCTACCATGTAAGAGCTTGCTGAAAGAGCCATATCACTATTTCCTAGTAAGATTTCTTTGCATATGTAAGTTAGACTTTTGCCACGCATATTAGCACATTAGCAATACTTTTAAGAAAGGATCAATAGCATTGACTTAGAAAGGCAATACCACAATTATTTCAAAATCCTAGTCAACTGCAGTTTTCATTTGCTGTGTTCACTTTAACTCTGGCCTTAGGATGAATTTTCATTACTGAAAGTGCTTTAACTGGCTACTGTAATTGTATAGTTTACAGAAGTTTTTTTTTAAGCTTTATAAATTCCATGAGTGAATTTTTTTTCTTCTCAATGTGACATTATTCTCTTAAGTTGTCGGTTTAAGAACAACACTTCAGGGCTGATTCGGGGAAGAAGAGCAGGTTTCCTTGATTTTCCAAGGGAAATGGCTGCTTCAGGAGGAGCAGTCCAGTGGGTGTCGAGGCTTCCAGGCCATTTAGATCCTTGTTCATCATTTCCCACTCACTTGCTTTGCAGCTTGCAGTTCCTCACAATGATGAATGGACCCGATTTGCCAGGACCCTCGTGGAGATTCGTGCCAACAGAGCCGATAGCGAAGAGGAAGGCACCGTTGAGTTATCTGCCTAGTGGAAACTGTCCGTCCCCACCCCAGCCCCCACCTTCACCTTCTAGAACTCAGCTCTGCGGTCCTCGATTGCACTTGTATTCGGTGTCCATTCAGTATCCGTGTCGTGTGACATTTGGGTGTCATATTGTGCCAGCTTTGCTCCAAGTATTCCAAATGTATCCCGCCCTGCACCCCACTGACCTGAAATTCACCAGATCATTTCTATCTTTATATTTGTCTCAAAACTGGGGGGGAGGGGAGGGGAGGGAGGGAGGCTTTACGGGTTTAGTTGTTGCCTTTTAACTACTTAGTAGCTGTATTTAATAGCTGGAGACCTCTGGTTAAATTTGTTCTTACATGCACTTCTGGCATAGTCCTATTAAATCCATATGAAGCCAGATATGATTAGGTGCAGATGTGGTGTGCTTCACGATGTGGTGCAGGGCCAAAGACTTGAGATGTGGTGTTTTACATGGTGACTCACATTATGAATGGATTTACTAGAAGAACATTGCCGCTCCTTATTTATTGTGGTGTGCTGCATGGAACATATTGATTTGAAAGCATTAAAATAAACGATCCTAGAGCATGTGCATAATGAGAGGACTGTATTGTCTCTCTGCTGCTGTTGAGGTTACATTAAGTTCCAAATAACAATTACAGTATGCCGGTTCCACGGAGGACGAGAAATCTTTAGAGGTTTGTTGCACTGAATGGAATGGATTTTAATGCCTATTATTTCTAGGTACTTTAACAATATTTCAAATATAGTTGACCATTGATACTTGTCATTCAAGCTAACATAGTCCAGCAAGAGTCTGTGGTTCCTGAATATGACACCAGTATTGCCAATAAAACGTTCCAAACCAGGTCTGCGCCAGCGTGGATAAATCCTGTACTTGGGGAAAGACTGATTCGAAAGACTGATTCGAATCTTGCTATGACAAGGCGGCGGGGGGGTGGGAGGGGATATATTAGGGCCATGTTAAAGATTGATAATGAGCCCTATAGGCAGCCAATCTGGCTGGACTTAAACCAAGACTCTGGTTTTATTTTTACGAGGGAATGTGTGTGGTTTTTTGGAAAGCTTTCCCGTATCTCCTTCACCGGAGCCACTCTTGCCCAGAGATGGTCTCCCACGTTAGAATAAGAAAAACAGGTTAAGATGAAGATACCAAATGGTCTACACATTTCCTTTTAAAAAGTTTACCCCAGGAATTTATGTTTCTTGCTATTGGACTAGGAAATGTGTCTATAAACAATTTTAACAGAAAATTTTCTCAGAGTCATTTCATGCCTCGAGAGAATTAAAACATCTGAAGACAAACTTTCAGCTTTTCAGGGAGAGAATCTCCCTGGTGCTTTGGTGGTAGGGACTCCTTGAACTCTGAGATTTCTTTTAAAAATAATGATATGCTTTTTCTTGACGTGCCATTAGGTATATAGATATTGAAAGTCTTTGAAGGCAGGAATTAAATTTTTAAAGATAAAATATGAGGGTCTTAAATAGGTTTAAAATCCAATAAAAGTACCAGGGGAAAAAAAGTCTCTCAAGCTTACACTACAGGACCTGAATAAAGAATAAAGCAATAACCCATAAGTTGCTATTACAGACCAAACTCTGAATGATTCTGGGAGCAAAGGAAGCACGTGAAACATGACATGGGTTTATATACATACGCTTCCCACTGTGGTAGCTAGTCTCCAAAATAGTCTTGCATAGTGCTGTTCCATGGGGATTCCAGGCTGACCTGGTGTAAATGATGGAGTATGGAGGAAGTGATGCTGTGTGGGGTCCAGGACATGGTTATGAGAAGACTTATAGCTTCCTTCTTGGTCTCTGCGCAAACTCATTCTTGGTCCCTGTGCCAAGAAGTACAAGTATCTGTATAAGAAGTACAACTATCCTGAGACCTCTGGGCCACACACAGGCCCGAGGTGACCATGTAGTGGCCATGTGTCAGACTCCCAGCCAGCTCACGACAATTCAAGTCATCCTGGCTAATGTTCTGGAAGGGATGTGGCTGCCATGAAAATTTGCCTCTCTGGTCTCCTACTGCAGAGAGTATAACTGACTGACAGCTCTAGCTGCTTTGCTTTGAAATCTGCCCCCATGTTTGATGAAGGTCATGCTTTCCACAGGTTTCTCTCAGCTGACTAGAGCATGGCAGCGATACTGAGGCAGGCCTGTTCCTAGAAGATATAAAACTTCTCTGACAGGTAACTTGCTTAGGGACTCCCTGTAAGCATTTAAAAAACTTTATAGAACTGTAATCTAAAACTAATTTTCCCTCCTCCTCACCCTCCCTCCTATCTTTCTCTCTCTCTCTCTCAGGGTCAGACCAGCATCACTGTCTGATGGCTCCCCCAGCATGATCTGGGTGGGGAAGACAGGCTGGTCCTGATAAGAGAGTAAAGAGACTCACTATTCACCAAGAGAGTTGCAAGAATTAACATGTACTGTAGGGGTTAGGGGAATAGCACTGAGATTGGATTTTGAGGGGTTTAAGGGAGCCAGAATGTAAGATCGAATAGGCAAGAATCCACCGAATTTGATTGAGAGACTTTTTCAGGATATGTGATTTTATACTCTGGCAAGGACCCCAGGGGATGGGGTGGTTGATACAGGGGCTCTTAGAAGTCTAGAAAAGCTATAGCCTACACTTAATGAAGTGACAATGTCTGAGTTGTCCTGACCAATAGTACAGAAAGGAACAAAGAGGTTGAAGGAAGTAAATAGGTTAGAATGGATATACTATGTAAAGCTAGAAGACACATCCAGGAGTTATATTCCATAGGAAGGCCCAGAGCACACACCCTTCACCAACGCCATTAGCAACAAGCCAGAGAGAAAAGCATAAACATCTTTTGGCCGCCTCTGCACACCAAGGCTGACAGTAAGAGAGGCAGTCACAGAGCAGGGCTTCTTAGTGTCTGTGGGGATGATAAGACCCTGGACTAACAGTGGCTAGCTAACTGGTGGCAGTTAACCCCCAGAAGCCAGTAAGCCACAATTACTGTAATGGCCAGCTAGATCAGAGGAGCAGCAGAGGAGACTTTATTTATCCAAAGAACAGGGCATCCTAAGAGAAAAACAGGGCAGTTCAAATGGCGTTTAACGTCTATAACCAAAAACATAAAAGCAAGAACGGAGGAGCAAGAGGCTGAAGGCAGTTACTTCAGAAAATCGCAATTCTCTGCTCATTACCGAAACCTGAGCCAATTTTTTGATCTAGAACTCACTGACTGAAGAGGTGTCTAGCTTGCTAGCAGGAAAGACATCATAGCAAACATGTACTGTGATGATTTCCTCAGTCCTTCCCTGAAGGGACCTATGGCCATTTATTCAGGCCAATGTGCAACGCAGAAAGAAAAATCAGACACCTCGAGAACTACGGGATACAGGGTCTCAGTTCACACTGAAACCCAAACCTGTATCATAGCCCCCAGTTAAACTGGCCATTTATGGTGACTAGGCAATATATGAAGTCACAATGACCTCATTTGGTCTATGGACCCACACGGTGACTGTTTCCCTAATCCCTAAGTGTTCCATCGGCACTGACATATTTGGCATTGGGTCCCTAGCCTCTGGGGGGTAAGAACTATACAGAAGGAAGGCCAAGTGGAAATCTCTGAAACTGCCATACTCCACCTCCTCCTACCAAGATAGTAAATGAAGAACATTACATCTTGGGGTAGGGCTGGGATCATGGCAACATTAGTGATGGATTTAAAGCCCTAGAAGACGCAGAGTGGTGGTCCCTGGAGTTTTTTTCATTTGATACACCAGTCTGGCCCCTTCATGACATAGATGGATACTGGAGAATCACTGGAGTAGTGCAAGCTCAACCAAGTAGGAGCTCTGATCATAGCTGCTGTGTCATATGTGACATCTTTCTTGGAACAGATTAATAAGGCCTCTGGTACATGGTATGTGGCTGATTGATGAATGCATTATTTTCTAGTCCAACTATATAATAATATCAGAAAGAGTTTGTACTTATGTGGAAAAAAGAACAATATTTATTTACACCTTTGTCTCTGTTAACTTATCATCCTACACCATATTCTACGTAATTCTGGACATGACTGAACATCCACAGAACATTACACTAATCCATGACATCAGTGGCGTAATATTGTGTAGGCAGGAGAAATAAGAGTTAACTAATGTGCCAGAAGTCCAATAAGGCACGTATACTCCAGAGGGTGGGAGGTAATTTCAAGGAAGACGTGGGAACACAGCACCCAGTAGGCTTCTCTGGGTTCTCAAGGCAACACACTCCATGTCTAAGAATACTGTTCTGGTCTGTTATACCAGGTGGCACACAAGGTCTGGGGAAGGGCTCAGAAGAAAGGACTTTGCAGCAGATCTAAACTGCAGTGCAAGGAGCTCTACTCAGCCATTCAGTCAACTGATGCCATGGTATTAGAAGTGCTGATGGTGGAGAAAAAATATGGCAACTTACGGCAGGCCCTGGTAGGGAAATTATAACAGTGGCCCATGGGGTTCCGAAGGTAAGCCATGCTAGCTGCAGCAAAGAATTAGGTGACTTTTGAGAAATGGCTCCCAGCATATGACTGGGTCATGGAAGAAGTAAAGCTCTTCACCATGGAATATGAAGATACCAGACATCCAAACAGCCCATTATAAGTTGACTCCTGTCAGCCTTGTGAAGGTATAAAGTCAGAAAGAGCTACTTGAAACCTCTTCCATAAGATGCAAATTGTGCATGCAGAAGGTACATCTGAGCAGAACCAGAGGACATGAGGAAGCTGCATGAGCAAGTAACCCAGAAGCCCAATGTCACCCAACAGGATTTCACCAGCACCCCTTTCCCATGCTTGCATACACAGTCATATGTGGGGACTGTGGGTTTGGTAGGACTGGCTGAAAAAAGGGGAAAGGTCAGAGCCTGCTTTACATATGGGTTGGCTCAGTTTGTGGGTGAAGGCTTAGAATGGATGACAGCTGGGGCACCTGGGTGGCTCAGCTGGTTGAACGTCTGACTTCAGCACAGGTTATAATCTCATGGTTCGTGAGTCTGAGCCCTGCATTGGGCTCTCTGAGGTCAGGGCGGAGCCCGCTTCAGATCCTCTTCATCCCTTTCTCTCTGCTGCTCCCCTGCTCATGCTCGCTCTCTCAAAAATAAATTTACAAAAAAAAGGAAAGAAAAAAAAAGGATGGATGACAGTGACATTATAGCCATTTTCAAGGGTGACCTTGGAAGACTAAAGAGGGAAAAATTT